AAAGGGCAGAGGAAATCCTATTGACTGTCAATTAGGCTCCCCCTCAATCCCAGTCCACTTTCTCTCTAAGCCCTAACAGCAGCTTTACTACTTTCAAACCAGACAGTTTTCATGGTCCATTACCTTTGATTACAACTCTCTCTACCCAGTTAGTTATAGTTACTAATGGCCAATTTCTCAAAGAGACAGCACTAGCACCATCCTGCAGCCCAGAGATTTATGAACCTTTAAATTAATAAAAGCACAGGCTAGCACTGATCTTTTATGTTGCTTTCCTTATTAACCTAAAGGGTACATGGCTACAGAAACCCGGGACAGGACTGACACATTCCCATCAGCTTATAATGCCAATTTAAGGCTCTGGTACTAAATTTCAAAGCCAAATAGGGGATTGAGACTTAGTGGCATAAAGCAGATACGGATCTTGACCCAGAAAGCACTGTGCTCATGTAGGACAATGGCACCTATTACAAAGGCTCACACAGGGCCAGCTGTCAGGGAGGGCTGTCCTCAAAGCCATCCAGCTGCAGAACAGCTTCTGCAGAGGTCAGAGAAGCTACACCAGCCTTCCTTTTCAAAAGGTCCTTCCTCCATTTTACCAACACTCCCTGATACTATCTTTACCTGTTTCATCACAGACCTTTTTTTTTTCCTGTAAACAAAGATTAACTAAAACAAATTAAACATGAAAACAGCTTTACAGATAGATCTCCCTGAAAAAGAAATAAATTAATAAAATCCATGTTGTTATTTAATTTAGGGAGAGACACTTAGGCACTGCTAGATGACAGCATAAAACTTTTAAGAGAGTAGAAGCTTTCCACCTAAAGGTTACAGTAGATGAGGAGTCAGCAGATATATCCATGACATAGCTAAGGCACTGGCATCTCAGTCAACTGTCCTCTGAGCTGCTGCTGGAACCCGCCTAACCCCACGTGTCAGGCACTGTGGTTCCTGGCTGCTGCCACACGCTGCCCAGGCACAGCTGGAGTTGTAGCCCAGCTCCCAGAAGGTGCTGGCAGCAGAGGGCAGGTACCACTGGCAACTCCTCACTTCCCAGCTGAGAAGTATCTACAACATCCTCCAGCAAAGCTGGATAGCAAGAATAAAGTCATAAAATACCAAAAGCTGGAGCTGAACCTCAGTTTCAAGTAATCGGTTGCAATTATATACCCACAGCTCCACAATCCAAGCACAGACTTCCTGGTGCTGATTACTGCAGTTTTAATAAGTGCTGAGACGGTAGATATTGGAGCTGGAGCTAAACACTTCCTAGATTTTCACCCCTCACAGACAGGCTTGGTGCAGTTGTTTCACCATTTCGGCGCCCTGCAGAGAGCGTGGGCAGACAGACGCTGCGCTGTCCCCGGATCTGATTCCTCCCGGTGGGTGAGCCGCTCTCCTCAGCCTACACAAGTGCACTCAGTGGGCTTCCCATCCGGAAGCAAAGGGGAAAAGAACACTCATCTAAGCACAGAGGTGAGAAAGAAGAGCCTGGCATGGGAATTAAGCTTCCTACAGGCTAAATAACCTTTTTCACTCGGAGGAAGATCAGTTCAGGTGCAACTCGCACTCCCTCAGGGATTATCAAAAGAGAAGCCACTCATGAGTACCCACAAGCAGTTGGTGATGATCACAGGTGGATGCAGTAAGCCTCCTAGATCCATCAGGAAACGCTAAAACACACAAAAGTATACCCCTCATCTGCTTCTAGAAAAATTGAAGGTGCCAGTAACGCTCTGCTACACTCGATATATCAGACTTCATTTTATCCGGAGATGAAACATATCAAGCGTGTGAAGAAAAACGCAGACCAAACCCAAATTTGTGTGAACAGCACAGTCCTAAGAGCTGCACTATTTCAACCTCCATTCACCCAGATAGCTGCTGGCAACTGCAAGGAGAAATAAAATACACCCAGACAAGCAATTACATACAATAAAAATTAGAAAAGCCTAACGGCTACACTTTATGTGGTTTGTCTGGCTTTTTTTTTCCCCCCTTCCTCTTTCCGCATAACACAGTCAGATGTACTGTGTCATTTTCCACCATTAAGGTGATCTTGCATTTTGATGAAGCTTTTTTTTCCCCCAGGAGACCCTGGGATGAATTAGCCTGTGCACACTGGAAGATATGTCTGTATGGCAGACTGCAGAGTAGTCTAGAGATAGTTGGGATACAGCAGGTACTGGAAGCTCAGAGCTTCCTGTGAAGACTGAGAATCTTACCCTGTTAAGACATTAAGATAAATTAGCACAGATAATGCTCGCCTGGTTAGAGCACTTCCAGTGCTTTCCCTAGCACCAAGGGACAGTAGTAAGAATAATGAGGCTTGGGACTAAAGGTATATCTATGAGAGATGGCTCAATGCTGGAAGGCAAAAATAGGAAGAAACTGAAATAGTAGTAAGCTAGCAAATCAAATAACAGAGGTTAACTGGCTGTGTGCATACCTGCACACACAGGCTTGAAGCATGCTGCTACATTTCATCTTTGTCATGTTCCAGATAAAGTTAATTGTTTTAATTGGCATTAAAATGATCCTACAACTAATATCAGCCAGCCAAACCCTCTTCTGCTCCATGTTCTCAGAGCAGTTGCAGCAAGAATAAGGTATCGAGGGAACCGACTTGACTAAATTCAATTTAGAAGGGCACACAGGGTGGGGATGAACGTGTGAAACAGCCATTTGGGAAGAAACTGATGAGCCATCCAACAAGTTTGAAAACTGTTCTTTTGGAGCTCCCACCTATAACTGGAACACTGAAGTAGCATGCATATTTACATTCAATTTACTGGATTTATCTTACCAGGAAAATAGGGACTGGATCTAGAATAAACAGTTAAAGACCACAAAAAGATTTACTGAAAAGACACTCCACCCATGAACAGAATTTTATAAGCAGTAACCTTTGCAAAGTTTCCTTCTCCATCAGTGAACCCTCTCAGTTGGCACTCATCCAATTTTGGCTAAGGATTATCCGTGCAGCCTTGCTTTAGAGCACTGTAACCCTAATCAAACTGTTTCGCTACACTAAGGAACAAAGAAGCAAAGATATCTGAGTGTTTCTCTATGTGCAAAAGCATGTATACAGCTGTCTATAGGAAGATTAACAAGTAGCCACGTGCAATAGAAAGATAATGATAGACTGGTACAGACAAGCAGAAGTTGCTTCTGTAAACTCATGCTCAACAACCACTTGCAGTCAATATCATATCAGGTCCACTCTAGGAATACACCGTGGTATGAGAATTCCTCTTTCCTGAAAATTAGTGATGTTTGTACAGATTTAATCACTAATGCTCAGCTACAACATTTTAAAAAATGTATTTATTTAAATCAAGTTTGAGACTTACCAATAGTTTGAGCAGCCAAAAACGGGACTTGTAATATAAGGTTTTGGTAGGGTTGATGAGAAAAAGCAACATGAAGCCGTACAAGATGAGTGGATTCACCTGCATAGGGATGTAGGTGAATTTACCATATATACATGCCAGCAGGCTCAGGCACCACAAAACCCCCAGGAAGCCAGCAATCTACAGAAAGACAGAAAAAACACACAGATACCTTATGAAAATACAGCTTCGAAACCTACAATGAATTCTCATTATAAGAAAAGGGAGAGCAGTGCTCAATCCTGTAATCTAATCAGACTTCAGCAACTTCCTCTTCTAATTGGGTTACAACTCCTTGCCAGGAAATGGTGCAGGATTTATCCTCTTGATACACCACACAGCTCAGCCGCTCCTACAGTCTGTTCCGTTTACCTCAAAGAGATGTTGATGGGACAAGTTGCTGCGGGGATTGAGTTCGAAGATGAGGACGTGATTCACTCCAGCCTGTCTCCAGCCATACGTGTTGATACCCAGGAGAAAGAGGAATTCTATCAGCAGAAAGCCACCTCGATAGATTCTCACCAGTGGCCACACATTTGGTCCTTCTATAAAAGCCACACCTGGCAAAGACAAAAGTGAAATGGTCTGAGTGATGGCACAAGTCGTGGCACAAGGCAAAGCTGTGCGGCACCGCTTCGTGCTGGCTCCCAAACGCTCAGAGGTACCCCGTGAAAGCAGGGTACACTTGTAAGCACCTGCATGTACCAAGCAAGTGGAGGACTTTTTGTCTAACCTGTCAGAGGATTTAGGAGTGTTCTGGGGAAAATTCATGTAGTTGGGTCATTAGCAGCATTCTAAGTCCCCTGTCTCACACTACGGGTACGAGGGACAGCACTAGCATAAATCGTGGCTATATGCGCTTAAATGTTCTGATTTAATGGAGATGAAATCCCAACAGACAGCTACACAAACACTTCTGCTCCCCACAAAACCAAGAAGCACCATTTACAGCATTTTAAAACAACGTTACACTGTGCTTAATCACTGAACTCAATACAACTGTAATGTAATAAATACATATTCATAACAGGCAACAGAATATCCAGCCGCACCCAAACAGAAAGCCCAACATAAGGCAGCAATACTGGGAAGCCTGTTGCTTCCTTTGTTCAGTCTTCAGGGTTTTGGTAACAAATTTGCTTAATTTTAAACAACGAGCAGCATTACACAGCAGCAGCTTTCTCCAGCACAAGCCTCTTTGCAAAATACTGTCCCCCAGTTGCTCAATATGGGTTTTATGAGAAAAGCACAAATAAAATACGGTTATTTGAATCCTCAATTGCAGTTTCATTGAGTGTTTCTCACCCACATGGTTTTAAGAAGGGAAAAAAAGAACATGCAGTTTTACAGAATCAATGCTGAGAATTTATTTTCACAAACCCTCCTGTCTAAGTTATAGTCCCAAGTTTTTCAAACTTTTCTTCAGAGAAAGCATATATAAGAAGTTTCATGACTTCAATATCTATACTTCACATCACGTGAAATTATAGAGGAAAATTGTGTAAGGAACAATGACTCAAGAACTGTTGCTTTGAATTTAAAACTTAAAAGAGAATATTGGATTCAGGCAAAAGAGAGTCAAATTTTGGGCAGAAATGACAGATACCCTGAAGAAGCTGAAAAAAATGAGTCTTAAATATAGAATTACAAAAGCACGCATTTCAAATTTCAATCTGAAATGCCTGCAGACAAAACCAAGGGAGGTGCTCCCAAACAGGACAGTGTAGCCCCAAAAATATTGAATAAGAAATGACCAGACAGAATAGCACAGATGTGCTGTGTGCTATTCAAGACAGAACACCCACAGGTTTATCCTGAGGTGAACACAGTTTAATATGACTTCCATAGCTAATGCCTGCTAATCTTATTTCTGGACTCTCAGGGTGATAGAGGCCCATAACTGCAGCTGGTTCTGGTGGAAAAAAAAAACAGCTACTGAACAATAAAATGAGCTGAGCTACTGACAACAAAGAAGTTAAGAGTAATTCTGTATACTCTGATATACAGATACTGATATACTTCTGATACTGCATATCTCCTCTGATACTAAGCCCTACCTAGTTTAGCTTCTGCAGTATAAAGGCTAGATTGGGTTCCCTTTTCACATTTCCTAATCGAGCCATTTTCTTCACTACAGCTGAGCAGCTTGGCTGACGACCCTCAAGGACCCCACCTGCAGGGAAGCGCCCAGCAAAGGTGTACGAGGTCTCAAACTGGCACGACCCAGACCAAGGTTCTGTACTACAGCCCTGAGGCAAAGAGATTTCCCATTCAAATACTGTTTCCACTTAAATCCAACACAAGTGAAGCCATCTCCTAGAGTCTGCAGGTACATGACACGCCATCAACCCATCCCTTCAGCAGCAGATGTCCCTGGTGACAAGCCCAACGGCATCACAGACTAATTCTCAAACAAGAGATGGGGCATTGCTGCAGCAAGAGTCTTGAGATTTTGCATGAAATCTGACAGGTTTTTGGTTAATAAAACACATGCCTAATTCCATGAACTCCCAACCTCAGTTACACACTAGCTTAGCACCTGGAAAAGCTGATACAGAAACAGTGAGGCCTCAAAATTCATACTCTTTAGGGTGATGCTCTCCTGGGAACCACCTGCAGCAGCTTTTAATGGACCCTAAGTTATTGTGAAGTCATCTCTATAAAACGTTGCTGTTCTGCTTTTAAAATCAGGCAATACAGAAGCAGTTTACTATCAGAAGTCATGTTTTAATGCTGTTTCACGGATTCTATATGCACAATGGTAAAATCCTGTCTCAGTCAATCAAATCATAAAAAGCAATTTGGCAAAGGTAGTGGAGAGGTTAGCAAAGTAATAGCCAATTAAAAACTAACACTTTGCAGTTAGAACACAGCTTTTGCCCAATATTTGAAGTAACATACAGAGACCAGATCATGTCTGCTGATACAAACACACCTATTATTCACCCTAGTTTAGTAACATCTGCTTTAGAGATATAATCACCTTTACGAATTCATTCTCACACTGTGTCACTTTTTCATTCTTAATACTGAGAGATAATGCAAACACAACTGGCTTCAATCGTATTTGCATCTCACACAGAGATCAAACATGTAAGTTACAGAAAAAAAAAAAGATACAATGAATAAAGAACAGCTTCTACACATTAAATGGACCCTTCACACAGATGAGTCAACTTTCTGCCTCTACCCCAGCAAGACCAAAAGGGAAGCACTGCAAACAGCTTCTCAAACGGAGACATTTTATCCCAAGAGATGACTGTATCCAATTACAGAAACATCTGATTAAAAATTCTTTTAAGTCAAAAACACAGACATGGGCTTTCCCTAATGCAAGAGCTCGTACGTTGATTTGTTAAGCCTTTTCCTTTGTACTGCTTAAGCAAGTTACAACACTACTGGAATCACACACACAATTAGTAAAGCCACTTGTGAATAAGCACTGGATCTGGATCTACAGTACTAACGTGGCTTTTACTCCTGAGTCTGAACTCAGAAGGTGCAAAGCAGAATAAAAACAAGGCCTGAGATATGCAATAATTTATTGTCGCTTTTAAACAATCTTGACAACATCTGCCAACAAGAAAAATTCAATTAATTCCATTAATACGCACCAGGCATTGAAATCCTATAAATTTCTACATGAAAATGTTCTGAGTGGCATGGTGCTCACATGGCTCTATATCTGGTCTCATTCTCTGCAGGGAGTCAGTACCATGCAAAACTGAAGTTTTACAAGCACGTCTCTCCAGGTGGGTGAGGGCTGTGTGTTCACAGAACAATAACAGAAATTGGTCTTTAGACATGGATGTTTCACCTCCAGAATATCCTTCCAAGAGTAAGGAGGGAAACAGGAGAACAAACCATAATATCTTCAAAGTCCCAAATCCGTGTATATAACATGAGAAAAAACACAACCTATTCCTGAGCTGAACTAATAATTCACAACAGTGTGATCTGACTCAGACTGATTTAACCCAGAACATCCTGATCAACCCAAATCAGATCCAGGCTCTCGCTAAGTGATGACAACACATGCAAACCAAGGTACGGCAGCCAGCCGGGTCCAGCTGAGGATACCCACCTGAAAGTATGACAGTGATGTTCAGTGCAATGAACAATCCACAGAACAATCCAACCCTGAAGGTAGTCCAGGCTGGTACAGGCTGTGAACAAAGCAATGGTAGAATTAAGGTGGGTTAAATAGGTTATCAGCAAAGTCAGATTAATTTGCAGAGTAAATTTAAAATCAGGGATACAAGGTTCTGGCCCCTGATTGCACTCTTGTTCTTGAAGTGAGGAGTTGTTTTTTTTTAAAACTGAAAATGCTGCATAATATTCTTTCCTTTGTTGTTCCTGTGTTGAAACAGAGCTTGGGCATCTCAGTGTCCTTTGAAAAATATTCCAGACCACACAAACACTAAGCATATGTTATTATTAGCACAAATTTCCTTTTACTCTTATCCTCATCCCTTCATTACCTTGTCTGAATGCATTAGGAATAGTAAGCTATTACCAAATCTTCCAGAACTAAAGCAGATTATGTGACTGTGTCGCCCTCAGAATTTGTGGAGCATGTTCATATCAATTATTTTCACTACTTTGTTCAAATGTTGAATCTAATTTGGCACCTTGACAAGCTGGAGAAGCAGTGTTGCTATATAACTTGATCTCTTACCTGAGCTGCTCCTAAGGGTGGAACACGCAAACGTTTCATAGCCTTCTGTCTGTCTCCATCTTCTAACTCATTGGTCACCACTTCCTAAGGAGATAGATACATCACAGAAATTCATTCTACTGCTAAGTACATGGTACTGCATTAAAAAAATAAAAAATAGCAGTTGATTTCCAAGCTACATTTGATCCTTGGCTCAATATTCTTCTAATACATGGTAACAACAATATGAAAAGCTCACCACGCTGCGTCGAGTTATTTCCCAATACAAGCTAACCCTGTGTGAGCTTTTCAGAGTGAGAAAATACCAGCTGAAAAGAACATACACAAATTTATGCAAGCAGTGCCAGACATCAGTGGCATTTCAAAGTCAATTAATAGTTGTCTTGGTGGTGAATACAAGCTACGGACAGAGCAAAACACTACAGGAATTAGTAGTGAACAAGGAAACATTGGCTTCTGGTTAAAAGAGAAGCAGTGCCCAGCCTAGCAGTGCCCAGCCTAGCATCTTTACCTCTGTTTCGGAGATAAGCTGGTTGATCTTCTTGCAGGTGTAGAAAGGTGCCACCTCCACCTCAGCCACCCTCCATTCTGCCCCCCGCGTTGTCTCCAGGTTCTTGTCATGCTTCTTTAAGATCTTGCGGAAGCCGGTGAAGTTCAGGTTCTGCAGACAAGGGAAAAGAGTTACTGGCTTTTAACCTTAGTCAGCTCCCAAGAAAGTTAAATGGTTTTATTTCCAGTGATAGCAAAAAAGTAATAGTTAGTAAGAAGAATCAAAATTATTGCATCTATTGTCAGGAAGTTTTTGAGTTATTACTTTATTAGAAGTAATACACACATGCCTTGCAAATAACAGAAGAAATATGGGACTCAAGGGCATAAAAAGAGGCAACTTATTCGCAGGGAACTACCTAAACCTCATATTCCCTGAAAAGCCCCATCACTGCCACTTTCCTCCTTAATGCAGGAAGTGACAACATACCTGGTGAAACCTCACTGAAGACAAATAACCTCTGACATACTCAAAACTTTTACGCTTAAAGTTATTTCAAAACACGCTCCCTCTGTCTGGATACATCTTACTGCATGTGTCCCAGGGACTGCAACTCAGCAACTGGGCTCTGGATTAGCAGTAGTCATGATGAGCTCTGAACAAAAAGAGAAAGCTGCAGAAAAACTATGTTTTGTCCCAACTCTCACAGTCATTACTAATCTTTCAAGGTCTTTTCCCCTCTGAGACCTGGCTACTGACTTCTGGTTTCTTTAAACTTGACAATACGTGAAGGGGGCCTACAAGAAAGCTGGGGAAGGACTTTTCTTAAGGGCAATTAATGACAAAACAAGGGGAAATGGGTTTAAGCTGAAAGAGGGGAGGTTTAGATTAGATATTAGGAAGTTCTTCACTGTGAGGGTGGTCAGACGCTGGCCCAGGTTGCCCAAGGAAGTTGTAGATGCCCCCTCCCTGGAAGTGTTGAAGGCCAGGCTGGATGAGGCTTTGAGCAACCTGGTCTAGTGGAAGGTGTCCCTGCTGATGGCAGGGGGGTTGGAACTGGATGAGCTGTAAGGTCCCTCCCAATCCTAACCATTCTATGATTCTATGACATCGGTTTCAAATCAAGTTGTCTGGATGAGTGTGTTATAGAAGGGAAATCCTTGTACAACAGAAAACTTGGGAAAGTTTTTAATGCTGCAGATTAAATCCAGACAAATATATCCGCAGAGCAGCATCCTTTTCCACAGAGTACATTGGACAACGACTGCAAAACTAGTTTAGGCTTGCATATGTGGGAGATGTAACTCTCTAGTCTGTCAATATAAGCACATGATGCTGCATTAAAGGAGAATCACAGAATCACTGAATGTTGGGGATTGGAAGGGACCTCAAAAGATCATCCAGTCCAATCCCCCTGCCAGAGCAGGAACCTAAATGAGATCACACAGGAAGGCGTCCAGGCGGGTTTTGAATGTCTCCAGAGAAGGAGACTCCACACCCTCCCTGGGCAGCCTGTCCCAGGGCTCTGTCACCCTCACTGTAAAGAAGTTTCTTCTCAAGTTTAAGTGGAACCTCCTGTGTTCCAGCTCACACCCATTGCCCCTTGTCCTACCATTGGGCATCACTGAGAAGAGCCTGGCTCCATCCTCATGACATTCACCCTTAACATATTTATAAACATTAATGAGGTCACCCCTCAGTCTCCTCTTCTCCAAGCTAAAGAGCCCCAGCTCCCTCAGCCTTTCCTCAGAAGGGAGAGAAAACAAAAGAGAACGGTCGATTTCCAAGTTAGATGTGAGCCCTGACCCAAGACTCTTCTAACGCACAGTAACTACGACAGGCACAGCTCAGCACGCTGCACTACGCAGGCAATTGCTTGACAAGATGCATTTGAAATCCTACATTTCATGATATAGAAAATACCACTTGGAAGACACAACGTTCCATTCGAGCAACAGCAGGAACACAGACAGACCATGGCAAGATTCACTTCTAAAAAAAAACTTAGAAAGTAGCTTGGAAAAGAAAAACAGAGAAAACAGCAAAATCCAATGCCCTGGGGAGAGGCGCCAACTACTCACTGAAATAATTTTCAATCTAATTATGCTTAGAGTGATTTAATACCAGACCCCTACCGTTTAGGTGGGGAAATGAGGCAAGGGAGACAGGAGCAGGAAGCCAATGCATTAACGATCTGCATTATTGCAGACAAGAGACTTTAATTACTTTCTATTGGAAAAGCCAGCGTTCCACCCCAGGGAGAGCAGGTCGCTCTTCTCATACATTTGAAATGAAAAAAAAAAAAAAAAGGCAACAAAGTGATGATTTTTGCTCAGAGATTTTTCTGTAGCGTGGACTAACATGACTTGATTTGCCACGTATGAAAGCACAGCCTAACTCTGGTGTGCCTTGGCAGCTCGGTCACAGTTATGCCAGACACCCTAGAACCTCTCCAGCAGCATCTCATCCTCCAGCTGCAAAAATTCTGCAACCTCAAAGTGCGTGAGAAAACCACTGTTGGTTACAGAGGTACTTCAGACAAGGAATTCTGTGAATACACAGTGATGGAACTGGGAAACATAAGTCAAACATCATTTATGCAGTCAGATGTTTTGCTATTCATCATGCTTTTATCTGGCAAGGGGTTTTTTCCAAACCTGACTTCCCTTTCTGCTGGATACTAATAAAATCCATAGAACTGAATCAACTAATGGTATGTTTTCTTGTTAAAGGTGGAAAAAAACCCCTCAAACACTGCAACTTACACAATAATGTTATGCAAGATCAAGTAGAATCAAATAGTGGACTCAAAAAATCTTTGCTCATATACAAGTGTATCAGGAAATGCACCAGCAAGCAAGGTGCTCTGCTCCTTCTGGAAATTGTGAAAGCTACCAGATGGGTTTTACATCAATATTTAGTATAAATACAATAGATCTGGACTCATGGTAGCAAAAAGCAAAAATGTAAGTGTGCAAGATGCCTTTTTTCACTGATGCAGGATAGAAGATGATTTTTCAAAGGAATGATCTATGTCATTCCCTATTTAAAGTCTTCATCAAGCCTCAGAAGTTATTTTTGGTAACCAAGAGTAAGAGCTTCCTTTAAAAATAAATAAATAAATAAAGGTGAAGAAATCACAGCAGTTAATATGCTTCACGCCATTCCTGAAAAGCTATGGATACTCAAAAGCCTTTCCCAGGATTTTGAACTAGAAACTATCTCTAATAGTTAAAGGGCTTTATTGAGAAACTCAAATAGCCACTGGACCTGTGCTCAAAAACCTAACACCACTTTAGGAGAGGTACAAACACTGAGAATTTTGGAAGAATTAATTTTTGTTGATGTTGCAGAGTGGTATTCAATTAATTCTTATGGTGAATTTTGTTTAGTAAAATTCTCCAGTAAAACATTGGTAAAGATCTAAATATGGATGTAGTGAACTGAAGTTCAAACGTGCTTATTTAACAAGCTAAAAACCTTCACAATGAGACATTTAAAAGCATTACAGAGTATTTAACACCAATAGAGCCAGCCCAGAAAAAAAAGATCTTAACATTTTCAGATCTTTGTTTCAAGACTTTTGGACCAAAATCAACGTCTGCATTATTTACCATGCTTTTTCATGCCAGAAATCCAAGTACAACTAAAGATTTGTTTTTTTCATACTTCAAGGCAAATGAGCCCGTATCCTACAGAATGAAAAACATTTTTTTTTTTTAAATGGATGTTTTAACAAGAAATTCTGATATAGCAAGGTCACAGTCACTACCATGGTAACACCAAGAGAAACAGAACATTAGTATTTCAAATTTCATTACAAATATTAGATAAAAGAGTTTCTTCCCCAACTTGCCAGCTCCAGCCCTGCACAGAACAACACACTGCAGAAGGAAGAGACCTCGAAGTGACCTCGTGTCGTGACCACACCTGGGCCAAGGGTGCTGAGGTCAGAAGGTTCTTCTGCAGGTCAGCTGAGCGTTTCTAGCTCAACAAAAAGCAACAAGATGTACGCTGCTAGCTATCTGCCTTTTCTTTTAAAAGTGTTTAGAGACCCCAAAATAAAAAAGAACTCAAAAACTGATTTGAACGAGGCAACTCAAGGATACACGAAGCACAGAGACATTTACACACAGGGCTTTGTAAAACCACCTCTTTTTGCAGGTACCTGATAGTTCTGCAATAAGATGAGGCTGAGGTAGAGCTCGCTGAAGGCCAATTTCAGGTCTTTGATATTCCTGTGCTGGACACGCTCTTCGTGGGACAGGTGGAAGACGGGCTTTCTGCGCCGCTGCAGCGTGGAAGCCCCGCTGGCTTCTTTCTGTGCATCCAAAGTTGACTGTAACTCAGTCCGCAGAGTGGTAAACCTGCGCTGAGCTTCTGCAAGCTTTTCTGTTAGCAAGGAAAGGGAAAAGTCAGGTGAGGGGGTAGCAACTTGCCTACTGAGCCTGTAAAAAGCACTACAGCTTTCCCTCAAATAGGTAGAAAGCACTGCATTGAATAACCTACCACATGGTGCTCCCCCACTAAGCATTAAATTCAACAACTGCATGTTTCTCTTTTATGAAGCTCCTTCTCCTTAAAGGTTTTAACGTGCTCCTAGGTATAACATACACTCTCCAAAAACAAAGCTGCTATAGCTGCGGCTGTTGACACACCTGAGGGACAAGATGCCATTCAGAGGGACCACAACAAACTCGAGAAGTGAGCCCATGTGAACCTCATGAGGTTCAACAAGGCCAAGTGTGAGGTCCTGTGCAAGGTCCTGCACCTGGGTCAGGGCAATTCCCAGTATCAGTACAGGCTGGGGGATGAAGGCATTGAAAGCAGCTCTGAGGAGAAGGACCTGAGGGAAGGACTGGTGGATGAAAAGCTGGACATAATCTGGCAATGTGCACTTGCAGCCCAGGAGGCCAACCGTGTCCTGGGCTGCTTCAAAAGCTGTGTGGCCAGCAGGTTGAGGGGGCTGATTGTGCCCCTCTGCTGAGACCCCACCTGGAGTACTGCCTCCAGTTCTGGGGTCCTCAGCACAAGACTGACGTGGACATGTTGGAGCAGGTCCAGAGGAGGCCACAAAAATGGGATGGAGCACCTCTCCTATGAGGACAGACTGAGAGGGATGGGGCTGTTCAGCCTGAGAGGGTCGGGGCTGTTCAGCCTGGAGAGGAAAAGGCTCTGGGGGGACGTAAGGAAGAAAGTTTTTATGCTGAGGGTGATGAAACCCTGGTCCAGGTTGCCCAGAGAGGTGGTAGAAGCCCCATCCCTAGAAACATTCAAGGTCAAGTTGGACAGGGCTCTGAGCAACCCAATCTGGTTGAAGATGTCCCTGCTTATTGCAGAGAGGTTGGACTAGACCTTGAAAGGTCCTTTCCAACCCAAATAATTCTGTGATTCTACGATATCAGACAGGTCTTAATTAACACAGCCAAAATCAAGAGGCTGTCCCTTCAGCACAGACTAGGGCAGCATCAAAAGTGGACTCAGACTTCTCCACTTCCACCCCCAGATCTGATTTCTAGAGGATGCTGGTTCCAGCACTGTACAAATACCCATGACAGATGGAAGAAGCCCAATATGCAGAGCTGCCCCCTGTACCCAGGGGCTATCGACCAGCACAGGGATGCAGGGTCAGGCCTCCCCAGGCTGGCAGAGCTGCAGCTGGAGGCAGCCAGGCAGATAGGGTCTCATCCAAATACCAAAGCAGTGACCACACGTCTCCTCCGTGTGCAGAAGAGAGCTGCTCGCCTTTCTCAAATAAAGCAAATGCACAAAAAGCATAAAAAAGCCCGTCAGACAATATTCTGAAACTTGACAGCCAGTAAGCAAAGCACTTTTTGTATCTGCACACCCAGAACCAACTACGTGTTTACTGTCTTTTTATACAACAGTAAGAAAATCAAAGGGGGGAAAAAAAAAAACCAAAAAACAAACCACTCTTCAAATGTGACGCTGAATTTTGGATCTCAGAGAGCAACGCAACCCCTCTGCCAAGCTCCTGGTGACAGACAAACACAGCTTCTGCTTTGATCAGGAGTTACAACACCACTTGCTGCTGTACAGGATCCGCTGTAATAACATCTCCCTCTTTTCCTCAGTTTAGGCTCACGCAGGTTAAGAAGCATTGCCTCGTTATTCACTGATTAAAGGGACAGTCAGGCTGAATTTAAATATCATTTTGATGTGTTTTCGGAACAAGTCAGCTGCTCTTCCTCACATCTCAAGTATGAAAAAGGTGTTCCTTTAAATATCCTGCTTTACATACGTTCAGAAAATAATCTGTTTTGGCTACATAACAATCTTTTTATGCTAAAAACAGCGTAACCGACATCATTATCTTTCTTTTTGTTCTGTACAACTCGTTCCTTCCAGGCCTTTTTTCTCCCCTACGGCTTCAGTCACAGCTTTGGCCTCTCTGTAGATAAGCACCAGCACAGACCACGGGCGCTGGCGTTGGCCGGGAAGATGCCGAGCAGGTTCACAGTGCTGGAGCAGGCGGCTGGGAGCTGGAGCCACCATCACACCACAAACCACAACCCAAAGCTCTGCCCAACAGTCTCCTGGCTGTTGATTTAATTCTCTTCATTAGTATCTTATATAACAATTTAATGGTAATTCTCAATTGTTCCCTGCTCCAAAAGTAAGATTTACTCTTATGGGAACAATTATGACCTTTTCCTCAGTCTTATTCAATTCTGGTTAATTTTAAAAGCAAAACTCCTCTGTAAATAATTTTACAGTGCTCTGTGTAAGATATTTTCCGGAAGGAGAATGCCTTTCTGAACAGAAAATGGGAATCAACATAGAAAAATCAAGTACCAAAGAGCTTGAAACTTTCTGTAACTTTCAGGATTATAAGCTTTAATAAAGTAAGAGGTTTTAAAAAGACAGAAAATAACTCTTCTCTGACAACTTCTACAGCTGCAAGGACTCCACCGAACAGAGGCAATGCAGCCCACAGTGAGAATTGTCTGCCCACAGCCCGTAACCCCATCATATTTAACGCACACAAGGTCAGACTGCAAAAACAGTCATCTCTCCCCACTTTGGAAACTCTCTCAGGAAGAAGTCACAGATATCTGTTACAGTAGCTGTTAGAATCAAAAGCCTTCAGAGAAATAAAACTCACAAGTTCACTCTCTATATTCAAAACATTCTATTAAGCCATCTGGTGACACACTGAGATTTCTTTGGGATCAAATTATTAAATATAGAAGAGTTTAAATTTAAATCCTCCAACTGAAAGCACTCTTCCATTTTTCCTATGCCCAGAAAAATCTTAAAATCCATCAGCCTAATACCAGAGTATTTAAAGAAAAGACAATGCTTTGAAATAGTTATAAAACTGCTGCTGCAATTTTCCTGTTTGCAAACCACCATCCATAAAAAAGCATCATCCTCAAATACAAACATTCTTCTTCATTATGCACTGCTGAAAAGAGTCATCTCCTGTCTTCCACACAGCCCTCTCCATCCACAGGGGAAGGATGAAGCTTTAAAGGCAATGGACTCATTCCTCTGATGACCTGAGAAACAGCAGCCCTGCCACCTTCTTCTCCCTCCTGCCCACTCTCTCGCTGTGACCCCAGTTATCCAACCCACCAATGCCTGCATCTTGTTAAAGTATGATTTTATCATCAAGATTAATTGCAGAGGACAAATAAGACCAAATGTGTGCTGCTATTCTTAAAACCTCCTAGGGAATTGCCGACGGAAATGGCAAAGTAGAACAGAAATCAATTTTTCAATTTACAACATACTAAAAAATATTTTAAAAATACATTCACCACTATCACTAATTTAGCACTCCAAAAAGTGACTTTTTAAAAAATATGCCACTCAAAAAAGTTAGAAAAAAGCAGCATGCACTTAGAAACTGGAACCACTCTTGTGTTGCAGCATTTTGCTTGACCTGATGCCCACTGAGTCCTCAGCTCAAGTGTAATATCACAGCAAAGACTACAGAGAAATCTAAAACCAACAGAGGCAGACTTCAGCAAAAATACTGGAGATAAAGAAGTAGCTTTGCCCAAAAAACCCTCCTAGATCCTGACTAAAAACCACCATCTAAAGTTATCACCTCAACTATGCAATTCCAAGTTGTTATTGACTCTGTTTTCCAAGTTTAAAGAAAAATTCACACATAAGGATCATGAAAAAACCCCCCCAAAAACCCCAAAACAACCTATCACACCAAGGAGCCAGTAAAATTCCCCCCCAAGTTCCAGTTTACCTGGTCATGGTTGTGAACAAAACCTGCTTCACCAGCAGGATGTAATTGTACAGCCCACATCTGCTCGCAGCTGCCCAGCTCCAGGCTCTGAGCATTTTCAGCAGGCTCTTTTACTGCTCCTTCTTTTTCCTACGTATACATATTATGTTCAAGAATTTGCTCACCCAATTAAAAAGGCAGCTTCCTACAAATAATAAAATCAGCTCCTAAATTAACCACAAAAATGCTACTAGCTAAACAGCAGCCCAAGCAGATCCTGATGATGCTAATTTAAAATATAAGAAACCTCCCCTCTAGAAAATCCCAAACACAAACCAAAACTGGCCACAAATAAATCTTTAGCACTTGAACAGATGTTCCTCTACTGGAACCACCTGAACATTTTACTGTTATTCTTTTTTTTTTTCCTTTCAATTGAGTATAGATTTTCTTGAGCATACTCCAAATAATCACAAACTGTTTATCAAATCAGATACAGTTAATGGCAGTTTTTCCTTCCTACAGAGCTGGGATAATGACGTGGGGAATTAAGTTTGATGAGAGCTGACAATCTGAGCACACAGCAAAAGGCAAAGGCATTTTGCAGCAGGCACTCCAACACCGAGCACTCCGGGGAGCTGGGGAAGAGCTGGGGTGTGGGAACAGCCCATCCCCAGAGGACAGGGCTGTCCATGCTGTGACAATCCCTCAGCACAGGGAAAGACAACAAGGAAACGAAGCAAAGATCAACAGAAAATGTAGCTTTCTTGAAAACAGACAATATTTATTGCCATGAAGACAAGCGTGTAATAAGCCACATAATAAGCCTATAATAAATAGGATGTACCAGGTCATAATCCAAGCTGTCCCACACCTGGAGCTACAATAGTGTCCAACGTGACATATTTCTGATGTGACCAAGAAGAGGAACTCTTGATGGAACATTTCTTGATGTAGCTTAACATTAATAACCCTAATAAAGGGTTTCCATACTACTAAAATCACGTCACTCTTCTGCAAATAAAAGACTTATTTTTATCTTATCAAAAGAGATTTCAAATTACATGTATTCTCTCCTATAACTTTTTGAAATGACAGCAGGTTGGAAAAAACCCTTTCCTATATTATTAATGTCATTTTAAACAATGCTGGAATGGTTGTGTATATGTGGGAGCACGTGTGCCAGCAGGTCCTCATTAGGGAAAATTATCATCTGTATTGTGCATCTGAATTGATAGAACTTCCTCCACAGTCTAGCTTGTAGTACAGAGGATTTGATATAACTAGGAAAATAAGACAAGTTTCTGAAAAATAAAAGCCTTACCTCAGACCTGGGAGAGAAACAGAAGATCTCCCAGGGAAAAAGTGGGAAATAATTGTTCTGAGTTAGGTATATATGAACTGCATGTAGAAAAATGCCTATAAAGGGTAAAACCCAGCTGGCTTCATAAATCATCTTTCTTCTACCTCCAAACTGCCCCTTGCCCTTGTTCTTACCCCAACTGTGGCTACAGCAAACCCCCCAGTGCTCCAGGGAGCCAAAGAGCAGCCATGGCTGGCTCAAGAGAGATGGACTTCCCTAGATGGGAGCTGAGCAGAGGCAAACTGCCGTGCAGTTATTCCATCTATTATGCTTTCAGCTATTCTCATGTTCACAGCCCAGATTCTGCTAGCAATAAAACAGCCAGCAATAAAGTCATCGCCTGACAGTTATGAAAATATTTTGCACAATTCAACTTTGTCTTTGTTACCAGATTAAAATCAAAAAGAGCAAAGGCTACCATATTGTGCTGTTTATAGCACCAAGTTAATAAATCAACATGTTCAGAGTAAGTATAGCAGAAGTCAATGCATCATTATATCCATATTTAACCACTTTTCTAGTAGAAAACCAATTCTAAACCTTACCAAAAGAGGCCGAAAACCAGCTGAAGTGTAATAGTGGGTGGAACTGGAGCACACTGTTCCTAAGCCTTTTGTAGCAATATTACAAGGTCCATTTCTGATTATCCCATTCTAAAGTTTATTTACAAAACACAGGGTGGGAAAACAACAAACAATAGCATTTTGACATATGACACCCCTAGGAATCCCTACTCTTACCACCATTACATTTTTATTTAATTCAGTAAACAGGATTTCATACACAGCCAATGACAAATTGCTATTAGCTGATCTACTCCTGAAAGTCACAAGAGTTTAAGAAAGGGTCAAGTGCTTAAAAACTTGTTGGACACATCAAGACAGTCAAGTTACCATACACAGGCAAGTCCATGATAGCTATTCCTGCATAAACTCAGGAAACATCAGTTAGGGAGCTTAACACATGCAGGAGAGACTGTCACCATGGATAAGCTGAGAAACTGTGCCCCTTAAGCTGTCACTTAAGTTTAAGAGCATCTTCATAAAGTTAAGCAGGAGGCTACTGCAAAGCAGTGCAATCATTCATTCTCCCTCCTTTCAAATACCATGGTTTAACTCCACAGCAGTGATTAAACCAGGACAGTTTCTCATATAAACCTGCCCTGTAATTACCTGATGGTAGACCTGCATGACCACTGTGGTTATTCTGAAAGTTTGGGAGCTTCAAACTCTTTTTGTGTTGCTGTATTTTCCACAAATATACACAAATAAGCACCTTACCTGAATAGAAAATGTTGATTTTGGCAAGTTCTTTCTCACAGGTTTGGAAGAACTTCTCTTCAAACGTGGCAAAACACCTTTTCACCGTGTCCTCATCTGTGTCTAGAAAACAAAATAGAAAAAAAAAAATTGTGAAAGAAGAACATAGGAACAATTTTCTAAGGGGGTGTAATGGAAATATTTCTTCAGATTAAATCCACCTTCTTTGTCATGTACAGAAAGAAGAATAACCAAGTCCAAAGGGCTCCAAGGGACCACATATTTATCTGTAAAAGGAACTGTGCCAAGACAGAGAGGGAAAAATCCATGTAAGCAGAACTGCACCTTGACCAAAGTTCCCACCATCTTTTTGATCCTTCAAGTGCTATTGCAGATTTCACATGCTTCATTTCCACTTCCTAAACCAGCTTGTGCAACTGCGCCTGTAGAGCCATCCCCTCGATCAAGATTGCTCCTGATACCTACAGGAATCTTCTTTAAAAGGCATCTCACCTACGACGACAAAGTCACCCACCCTAAAGCTGCACACCAGTGGAAAGGGAAGACCATGCCCCATCCCCACCTGCCCACTCTGCTGCCTCCAGCATCCTGAAACCACCTCTCTGCTGCCATGTCAACCCAGCACGGAGCCACAGCCGCCGCAGGGGTGGTCCCCTCTTCCTGCCCACATCACTTCTGCATCCATGGGGTGAGCCAGATCAGGGAGAGATCTTCCAACCAAAACAAAAGCAGATTAAGGAGGAAGCATAACACCCACAACATGCTCTATGTCAGGGTTAAATTCTTTTCTTTTTCTCCCCAGAAGTTGTCTGCTCTCCAGTCTTGGACACTGGCAGGTTCTCCAATACAAACCTCAGTGAGAGCAAACCTCTTTAACAAAGATCAGGGTTTATGATGGGGGTTTGTTCTTTCTTCCCTGGGTTTACCATGGCAGAAAGCCCAGCACCATCAGCCCTGTGTGTTCATGCCTTTCCCTTTCCAGCTTGTCAGTCGTTTCCCCCAGAGTTTCTCCAGCAACTCCCACCATCACAACGTGCTTTGTGCTGGGACCAGTATAAAGGTTCTCAACCTACCACAGGCACTGGTCTTGCTCTTGAAGAATAAAGTTGGCCATGAAAAGCATTCACCCCAGCTTAGTAAACAACTGTATTTAGAAGAAAAGCACCAAGCCTTTAACCAAAGGTTTCATTTGACCTTCCAGGAGGACTCACTGGCTTCACCCATGATTCCCACCTTCTTATCACTATAATCCTTCAAATCCAAACGTAGCACCAGAGCAAACTAAAATCTGCCCAGTGAGTAAATGGGCAACTGTGGGGAAACTACCATCTTCCTTCCTGGAAAAGAAAATCTCTCTCTCATAAGCCAAGTTTAAAGAAGAGGCCTAAATTATGGTGATTGTGATCAGATCCACACTTTACCACCACTGCTCTGGGACTCTTAACTCTTTTGGAAGAACTTAAGTACAACTCTGTAATTCAAGTCAAATTTTGCAACTAAAGCAGCAATTTAGTCACTTTGTTATAAGTGAATATAGTGCAGCATCTCCAGAAACGCAGAACTTCAAAGACAGAACGAATTTTCTAATAATTAAGAAATGAATTTAATGTCTAAAAATTAAAGAATCCACACTATAATTAGGAATTTTAGCTCTGTCAATCATCTGTCCCAGATGCTCCTAATGCTGAAATAAAACAGACTCTTCATACTCCCCATAGTTACAGTTTCTCAATTCTCATTCAGTCTTACAGACTAAAAAAGGTTAGTATTACTACAAAAATGAAAAATTAAAATTTTATTACGGTCTTGATAAGGTCAAGAAATAGATTTTGAAATACATGTTTTATTAAATTCAGATGACAAGTGTCTACAGAAAAGTTCCACACTCTAGCAGATAAACACTCTGGGCTGTTATAACAAAAAAAAAATAAATCTTTTTGTTTTAGCATTAATTTCTATGTAAAACCAACCTCAAAGTAGTATTAATATGCATTAAATACTTTTAACATTTAGAATTTCCTGATTTTTATGTCTGTGGCACTGAAATGAAACACCATAGACCTACAGACACTATATTGATGTTTTAGGGGGGTTGTATCAAAAGAGCAAACAACACAACACAAGCCTGAAGAGGCAACGCCGGGAGGTGGCTGTTTTCTTGTGGAGTTTGATGATGCTTTAAAGAATAAAACAAAGGAAAAAAAAAACAAAACAAAACAGTCCTGCACAGATGACTGGTGTTTACAACTCCACCATCCAAGGGCTTGTAGAAAAGAATTCACAAGGGCTCCAAAGGTTGTTCTAAACGCCAAGTTTTGGCTCCCAAGGTCCCTTTATTATCCGACGATTATACTTGCAGATCTGCGGTTACTCCTGAGGATGAGAACTCCATCCCTTGTGCAAACAAACCCCAAAATGACAGGGCTGTGACTCTTCTTTGCTGAAGCAAAGCCGTGACAGCCCCGAGGTGTCACTCCACCCCTGCTCGAGGTCGCTGGCCCGACGCAGACTTTGCGGAACCACACACGTGCGTGCCTCAACCGCTCCTGCTCGGCTTCCTGCCTCAACACAGACCCCTCTTTGCGGGCAGCCTAAAACACCAGGAGGATAGAAAATAACTCTGCTTTGGGGCTGTAATTTCTAACAGCAGAGTCACAGCAGTTGCAACATCTTCCCCTAGGGCACTACACCAGTAAAGCCAATCTGAACTTGCCTGTGAGAGCCCCAATCCTTGACCCAACAGCTGCCAACACGGGCGGACAAAACACAAACAGGCGGGTGAGGCAACAGAAATTACTGTGCAACACTTAATATGCAGAGATTTTATTCAGTAGCTGCCTGAAACTTTTTGAATAACAGCAATCAGGCAGCATCAAAACAGAGCTGACTCTTAAGGAAGGACCCAAAGGGCAAATTCTTCAGCTCAAAGAGTTTACACATCTCTAGCAGAAGAGCTTACCTATAGATGCTTTCTGACATGAGGTCATCATCCCTGCCTGCCTTTAAAAATAACCCATAGAAATAACAGCACACAGGCTCACTGCTTTCCTGCTTCAGAAACTCCAACTGACTTCTATCATCACTTATTTCTTGGTTTTGGTACGTTCACAAAGTAAAACTTTCTAAACTTCAGTCACTAAAACTATCCAAGAACAACAAAAAAAAAATCTCATCAGGAAGGAGAATATACTTTTTGTCCACGAAGTCAAGTGTGAGTATTTCTATGGAATCAAAATATCACCCTTTAAGATAGCAAAAAGCTCAGCAAAGCAACATAATTTTAAACTAGCATAATGTCAAGTTAATAAATATCTTGTTTTGTACGTTACTGACTACTTCAGAAATTAAGTACGTTAAACTGTTTGACTATATCTGAAGTTCAGTAGAGGAAAATAGGCTTTAAAACACAAACCAACCACTACTGGAAGACCTTCCAAAAACCTTGAGATTAGGAATTCAGGTCTCTATTTCAACCTTAAAACACTGCTGACTCAGAGGAAAGCAAGGCTCTTTATAAACTATTCAAAATCCTTCTCCAAATGTCAAACACCTTCTTACAAAAGATGCTTTGCAGACCATGGTGGATGCCAGCTTTAAAAATCAGGATTCTCTGTGAAGAAAAGGTTTCCCTTTGGCCCTGTTCCCACTGCAGTTCAGTCATTTAACTCCGATAATAGACAAGTGTTGCCAAGGCTATTGCCTTTATTTATTTATTCCCCCCTCAAGGTTAGGACAGGACAACGTTTTTTTTGCCATGAGAAAATCACAGTGCCAGAAACCGGCCTTGGATTCAGAAGCTCCACGACAACAGAAGCTGTTTTTAAAAGGCATCCAGCTCTTGCTGCCAAGAAGGGCCAGCAGTAACCTTCCTTTTGTTCTTTTTCTATAGCCCTAATACCCCATTTACCCTAAGCTCCACGAAGTTGCCATGAACAAGGTTGCCAAGAAGATAGCTTGATCAATATCGCAGCTTCCTGACCTCATCTTCCTATGCAATTCCCTGCTGTGAATTAAAAAAAACAACCCCAAAACAACACAGTAAGCCTGAAAGGCTCTTGCTTTTACTTGCAAAGCCAAGTGGTAAACCAGCAGCTATCTGGATGTACTCCCCTCTTACCACACTTGCTTGTTTGCAGAGAGTTCAGACACTGGAACACCTAAAATAGAACCTGAAGTTGAAAAATTAACTTGCAAGTTACATTCCTGCGCTGCCCCAAGCACGACTACTTCAGAACATCTCTCAACTGTGCATCTCTCAACTGTGCATGTGGAATTTCTCATTTTCTGCAGCTGTAGTAGATGAACAAACAAGCAGCATCCCAGGCAGCTCTGCTTACTCACTGCCGTGCAAGAAAACAGACAGCAAAAGTTTCCTTTGTTAGAGCAATGCCCCTTAAAAGTATTCATTAAAAAAAAAAAAAAAAATTTCCTTCAATCTTTATCATGCTGAATTTTAAGGGGTGTTTAATTAAAAAAGATTAATTAGCTTTGTTATGAGATCAGCACAGGTGTAGTTCTCTGAATCACCTTCTTGTTTGCCACAAAACAGTTTTATCTGAGTAAGGTTATTTCAACACTCGAGTTAGACAGGAGGCAATTTTATTTATTACCAGGACTCTGCCATCTCTTCAGTAAATAAATAAATAAATAAATCAAACTCAACATTGGCATTAAACACACTAAATCATATTGAGCAGGTGATCACATGTTTAACATCAGCACTGTTTTGAATACACTGAGCTTTTCACATCATCCACACCCTGTCCTTGGCCTCTTGCTAACGAAAAGCCCTGTACACAGGGTTCAAATAGGTCTGTGACAACGAAACAGTGCTCTGAAAAATTAACAAGATTTAAAAGAGAGTTTTCTTGATCCCAGGTCTATGAAGACAGTAACTGCTTATACTCCTAGGCTGAGCGGCACATTAGTAAAAAAAAAAAGAAAAAATTCTAAAAATTTTCTTAGTTTCTAAAAAATTTCTAAAACGACTCTCAAAATTCAAAAAAAGCAGTGAAAACACATATCTGTCTCCAAACTCCCCATCAGCTTTGTCCATCCACTCAACCATCTCAATTTCCTAATACCCTTGACAGTTCTACAGC